CAACATAACGCGTGTCGATTTCCTGTACGGTTTCTTCATTTTTTTTTTTTAATAAATATTCTTCGAATTTCTCTCTAATGATCATGTTGCGTGACTCCCACATGTTTGCGGGTCGCGATAACTTGAAAATTTTCCGTTTATTCTCTACCCACATCCACGGGTGTGGGGATATTTCAATAAGTTAAATCACCATTTTTTGAAATTCTCGGTTGGCACAACTGAATTATTACAGAACCGAACGTTTCGTCGTAAGGGGAAAACTCGGAATGTAATTTTACCGTTTTCCGATCGGTGCATCTGTTTTAAATTATTATTATTATTATCATCATCATTTTTATGAAATATTTATGAAGTTTTTCCGACGTGTATTAACTTTAATTTATAGATGCAAATCCTAACGAAAAAAAAAAAGTTATTAAAATTTTTTTTATCGTATTAAAAATAATTTTTTTTATTATTATTAATTTCTCCAGAGATTTTGTTTGCTGAACAATTTTAAAATTAAAAAAAAATTTTTTCGAAACGTTAAAAAGTTTGTTTCACCCTAACCACCCTCCTCCTCCTCCTCCTACTCCCTCTTTTTTTAAAAATATTTTTTAAATAATAATAATGATAATATTGAATTGCGAATTACAAAAAAAAAAAAAAAAAAAACTTTTTTACGTTTTTAACGCTGAACTTAAATTTAAAAAAATCATTATTATTAACATAAATAATTTAACGCTGTCGGAAAATTTGACAAAAAAAAAAGAAAAATTTCATTTCACCTTTGACCTTTTCCCTTTTTTTTAAAAATACCTTCAAAATATTTTATTATTATTATTATTTTTTTTTTCGTTAATTATATAAAACCGAAACGAAATAAAAGAGAAAAAGGGGGAAAAAATTCAAAGGCAAAATTTTCCCAAAAAAAAAGGAAAGAGGAACGGGAGAGGAAGAAAGGGGGAATGGGGAGGGAAGGGGGGGTAAATTTGATTCTTTTGTCATCGAAATAAACTTTTTTTGTATATCTAAAATTACTATAATTCGATGATGCTATAATTAAAAAAAAAGGTCTCCCCACAAAAAAAAGGATTCGCTTTTTGTAAAAAAAAATAAAAACCACAAAAACCTTTTTTTTTTGTTTGTTTGTTACCTACAAACGAACAATAACAACAAAAATCTTGTTATTATACTGTCGATTAATGCATTTTGATAAATTTTTTTATTTAATTACAACAAACGTACAAACATGTTCGTTCGCGCACGATAAAAATTTGCGTTCATTGATTTTTTTTTTTTTTTCGTCGAATGCAATCGAAATACTATTAAAAAAAAAAAAAACAACCGCAACATAATAATGATAATAATAATAATAATAATAGAAAATCTGTTTGTTTTTAATTCAATTACAAAAGTTTGTTTTTTTTTTTTTTATCGGATGCGTTTTTATGTCAAAAAAAAAAAAAAAGTAAGAAACAAAATATTTTTTCTCATTTACGTCATTTCGCGTCGTTGTATTCGGTTGTATTCAATCGGAAACTAAAATAAATTGTTTTATTATTATTATTATCATTATGAATGGAATCGCCCATTGTAATGTATTAAATAAATTATTATTATCATTATTATTATAAAAAAAAAGTTTAGTGTTCGTGTCGTCGAGTTTTTGTTTATTCTCTCGTAATACGATATTTTATTTATTAAGTTTATTAATGTTTTTTTGTGTGTGTGTGTGTGCGTGTGCGTAATTATTTATCGGATCGATTTTATTGATTTTATTGATTTTTTTTTTGTAAATTTATTTATTAATTATCGATCGCCAATAATTTATAGTTTGCAACAAAATAGTAAAAATTTTTTTTTTTTTTTTAATTGGATTTGCTCCGGCAGAAAATTTTTCAATTAAATACAACTTAACGGGTTAAAGGTTTTTCTCCCTCCCCTTCTCTCCCGTTTCCTCCCCCCGTTTCCCCCCATCCCTCTTTTAGTTTTTCTTTTTTTTCTCTCTCTCTCTTTCTCTCTTTCTCTCTATATACTCTTAAAATATAAAATAATATAAAAAAAAGAAAATTAATTTTAGGTTTGTGAAAAATAAAAAAGCAAAAAAATTTAAGTTAAAAGCTTTTCTTTTTTTTGTGAATGTTCCTTTTTTTTTATATATTTCGAATTTAAAGTATAAAATAATGATGATAATAATAATAATAATAGTTTGAAAAAGAACCTTTTAAACCTTTTTTTTTTTTTTAATAAAAATCATAATTAATTTTTTTCAAAAATAAAAATGAAAAAATATAAAAAGGAGTGAGAAATATGTTTTCTATGTATATGTAGAGGGAGGGAGAGGGATTGGGGGGGTGGATGGGGGTGGAAAATGCCTTTTTTCACGGGGAATTTTCTATAAAAATAAAATAACAAAATTTATATATATATATATTTAGAGAGAGAGAGAGAGGAAGAAAGAGAGAGGGGGAAAGAATCAAAGAGAAAAAAATTATTTTCGTCCATTTTTTTTTTTAAACTAAAAAATCTCGTTTCGTAGTATGTATTGATAAATAAAAAAATGGCGAATTCATTTTATTCGTTGACAAAATAAAAATTAAACAAGGACGAAATTAAAATTCAGTCGAATAATTAACAAAATATAAATAATGAATGAAAAAAACAATTAAACAATTAAAAACACTTGATGAAAAAAAAAAAAGAAAAATTCAGGTTATGTCAACGGTAAAAATAAAAACGTGACGGTGATAATAATAATAATAATAAAATATGGATAATTTATTAGCTTGTATAAGAACGGCACCGGAATGGGAAGATGAAGGTTTTTATTTTCCCGATCCTCTCCCCCCCACAAAAAAAATAAAAAAAAAACAAAAAAGGTATTTTAATTTTTCTTTTTTTTTTTTGTAAACGCTCGTAAATGAAAATTAAATAAATTTTTGCGATAATTAAATAATTAACGTCTTCTGCTTACGCCCCCCTACCCCCCAAGAAAATTGTTTTATTATTATTATTAATATTATTAATTTTCTGTCGTTTCAGGAGAGCGTCGGCATTAGAAGATTTAGCCGTGAAGCCGATCACACAATTTCCATTAACGTTAGACGATGAGGTAAATAAAAAAATTTTTTTCAAATATGGCGGATAAATTTTTCCTCTCTTATCTCACAAGATTGATGTATGACGTCATTAAATACCCTGATATTATTTTATTTATTATTTTTCAGCCTCCGGAGCAAAAATATGCCAAATTTAAAGGAGTCAAAACGATCACCATTAAAAAGGTGGGTTTAAAAATAATCACGTGGAAATTTAAAAATAAAAAGAGAGGCAAAATATAATACAGTACAAAAACCTGAGAAAGGGAGGGGGAAGGGGGAGGGGGTGGGAAAGGGAAAAAATTCAAAAGCTCACCGAAAAAAAAAAAAGTTGTTTTTGCAACACATTTAACGTTGTCCAAAGTCTTTACAAAAAAAAAATAACAAACGAATTGTTTGTTTGTTTTCACGACGTATAAATAAATAAAAAATGTATATTTTTTGCTTGTTTGTTTGTTGTTTGTTTTTATTTAAAAAAAAGTTTTCTTTACGGTTATAATTTTTAAAAAAATTTTTTTTTGTATGACTTTTTACACCACCGCCTTTTATGTAAAAAAAAAAATGGGGTAATTTTATTCATAATCGAGTTGGTGGAAAAAATTTTTGAATAAAAAAACTGGAACGAAATAATAATAAGAACTAAATAATAATAATAATAATAATAAAGGAAAATTGTTCTCTTTAAAATCCTGGAATTTTTATTTAAAACCTTAAGGGATGAATCCCTGCGAATATTTTTTTTTGGAATTAATAACAAACTTTAAAAAAAATTGTTTATTAATTAATTTTTCGTTAAAATGTCAATGAAACGAAACGATAATTTATCGGTGAACAAACGAACAAACAAACAAACAAATAAAAAAGTTTATTTAAATATGTGTGTCTTTAAAACCTGATTGTGTTTTAACATTTACGTTGATGATTTATTTTACCTTTTCATTGACCTTGTCGGCGGTACAAGTTTCATTTGATGCATTTTATTTTTTCGTGGCATTGAATTATTATTATCATCATCGTAAACGTTTCAATTCTTCGTGTACGAACTTTTCCGTTGCAACATTTTTTTTTTTTTTTTTTAAAATAAACGCCATCGCGCAATCGCAATAAACGACAACGACAACATCCCAATATGCGAAAAATTTTCACGTGCGTGAAAGATAAGAAAATAATAATAATAACGGCGGAAAATGTTTTTAGTTTTTCCCTCCCCCCCATTTCCACTCTTTCTCTTCGCCTTTTAAGTTTTCCGACCGCCCCCACCCCCTCTCGAAAAATATAAAAAAAATATCTAACGATGTTTATATTATCCCATAGAGTATTGATTTTCACTCAGAGATATATACGTAATAAAAAAATAATAATAATCTAATGGGGAAAAAAAATATTTGTTTTTTCGTCGTGGCAGAAGAAACAAACGTGAATACACGCATGAACTTAACGAAAAAAAAAAAAATTTTTTTTGTTTTTCTTTAAAGGGAAATCAAAACCTCGGGATAATGATTATCGAAGGAAAACACGCCGAAGTTGGTCAAGGAATTTTCATTTCGGATATACAAGAAGGAAGTTCTGCGGAACAGGTACGTACCAGACACCATCACCACCACCACCACCCGATAATAATAATAATAATAATAAATACTTAATTTTTTTTTTTTTTTTTTTGAATTCCAGGCTGGTTTAACCGTCGGTGATATGATTCTCGCCGTTAATAAAGATACATTATTAGGAACCAATTATGATTCGGTAAGGGAAAAATAAATGATAATAATAATAATAATAATCATCATCATTATTATTATCATTACTACTAAATAAAAAAATTATTATTATTATTTTTTTTTAATAATAAATAAATAAGTTGAATAATAATTATAAATGTCTTTAATTAATATTTTAATTTTATACAATTAATGGTTTATGAATAATTGATTTGTTATAATGATGATGATGATGATGATGATGATGATAATAATAATAATGGTTTACGGGTTTATATAGGCGGCGACATTGCTCAAAAAAACAGAAGGATTAGTGACGTTGGTTATTTGCAATCCCAACAAAGGAAGAGAAGAAGAAAAAACCGTCATGGGAAGTTTGGAACCCAAAGGAACGGGTGGACATACTCCGAACAGGAGTCCGACTCCAGTACAAAAAGAACCGGAAAAATCGAGTGAGTTATTAATGATAATAATAATACTATATAATTTTTGTTTTCTTCATTATTATTATTATTATTATTTGTGTGCTTTTGGGCTTTAAAGCAAAACAGGACGGTGTTGGAAAATGTGTTCTTTCGAAAATTCTTTTCGTCAAAAGTTTTCTTCGTCGTTTTTGTTTTTTTTTTTTTTTTTTTGGGTGGGGATTAATTGTTAAATAAAATTTTTAACGTGGCAAAAGAAAAATAAAGGTTCGAATCGTAAAATTTGTAGCGTTTAAAAAAAAAAAAGCGCGCGAAATTCAAATCTCCACGTTTAAAAAATTTTTACAACAAAAAAATAAAAATTTTACAACGTAAAAATTGCAATAAAATTTTTTTTGTTATAAAACAATCGATAATTTAATTATTGAACGATTCGATTTAACGTATCGAAAGTGATAATAATAATAATAATAATAATAATTTAAACGATAAATTTTCTTTTTTTTTTTTTTTTATTATTTAGAAAATTATTAAATTTGTTTTGAAAAGCTTCGTGCATGTTTATTTTCTTTTTTTTTTTTCTTTTTATTTGTTCGTTTGTTTGTTGGTTGGTTGCTGTCGTTTGTTGTTGTTGTTTTTCGTTAAAATGGTGGCTCCAGAAAAATTATTAATAATAAAATGGCTATAAAAATAAAAAATAAAAATAAAAATTTTTTATAGCATTTTATTATTTAAAAAGAAAAAAAAAAGAAAAAATAATTAATTTGCTTTTGCATTTGGCTGCTTTTTGATGGATGTTGTTGCATGTCGTCGTCGTCGTCGTCATCATCATCATCGTCATCGTCGTCTATAAAATTTCACATCGTCGTAAGTTATTCTTTTTTTCCTCCCACCCCCGTTTTAGTTTTAGTTTTAGGTTTAGTTTAATTCGGTTAGTTTAGTTTAATTTAATTTTATTTTCTTGTTATGTTAATCGTTTGTATTTTTTGTTTTTTAAAGGGTTAATACCGTTTACCAATTTGAAACCGTTAAAATCTTCTTCGTCGCCATCGAAACAATTATTCGACGTCGGGGGATCCGGTACGATTAACGAATCTCAAATATCAAATTTTGTTTTGACGGCTCCGACGACACTCGTACCAACTGCAACGATAACCCCGAAAACATCACCCGCATTATCGACACGTAAATGCACGTCAAATACTAAAATTCCAGAAGAACCACTTCCGGATCCAGCAACATGTCCGATAATTCCAGGAAAAGAAATCCTTATTGAAATAAATAAAGATAAATTGGGATTAGGATTAAGCATAATTGGAGGCTGTGACACTTTGCTTGTAATTATTATTTTTTTTTTTTTTTATCCAGAGTTGTTATTATTATTATTATTACGTTTTATTTTTTTTTATCAATCAATCAATCACATGACTAAAACTAAACTTTTATCGGTAAACGTGGAAATTTAATTCTGCTAGACAAAATAAATAATTTGATAAGAATTAATTTTATAGGTCAGAGATAATTATCGATTAAAAGCCCCCATATGTAATTTTTTTATTATGTTCGTGCCACGTTATTATTTTTTTTTTTTTTCATGTGGTTTTTCTTTTTTTTAGGGAGCCGTGATAGTTCACGAAATTTATCCAGAAAGTGCAGCTGAAAAAGATGGAAGACTGGAACCGGGAGATCAAATTTTAGAAGTTAATTCTGAGGATGTAACTAAAATGCCACATTCAAAAGTTCTCACGGTCATGAGACAAACTCAAGCCAAAGTATATTGATAATAATGATAATAATTAATTGTTTTCTTTCAAATGATTCGAACCTTTTATGAATTTTTTTTTTACAGGTAAAATTATTAGTTTATCGAGATGAAAATATAACCAAAGAAAATTTACTGCAGACGATTGATGTCGATTTAATTAAAAAACCTGGAAAAGGTTTGGGTTTAAGCGTGGCAGCAAAAAAAGAAGGAAAACAAGTTTTCATATCCGAAATCGTAAGAAAAATAAAAAAAACCGTTAATTTTACCTTGAATTTTCTATTTCCACGGTTTGTTTGCAAAGGTTCGTTTTGTTTTTAAAGGTACATAATGGTATAGCAGAATTAGATGGAAGGTTAATGAAAGGTGATTACATATTAGAAGTCAATGGTATATCATTGAAAGAATCAAATCAAGAAATTGCTGCAGCCGTATTAAAATCGTGTACTGGAAAAGTAGCCATTAAGGTCGGAAGGATAACGTGTAAAAAACATGTTAATAACATTAACGGAAGGTAAGTTGTTATCATCATCTGGAATTTTATTAAAATTTCCAGACGCCATTTTTTCATTTTGAGAGAGAGAAAAAGCAGACATATTTTTTTTATTTACGCATTGTTTTATATCATTTATAAAAAAAAAAAAAAAACCTTTCATAGGAGTTCATTATTGTTAACCGAATCAGAGGTTAACAGGTCATCCGTTCAGGTTAACGGAATTACGGATCCGAATCCTCGAAATGATTTAGTTAATGGATGTTTTCAAACACCAAAGACATCATCAACATTAAGAAATTTTGTGAGGAGCCTTTCGATAAGAAGGCGAAACATCTGATAATGTGTGTGTGTGCGTGCTCTTAACCCTTAACCTTTTCCTGCCATTTTTATTATCCAGTTTCCTTTTATCCTCCTTTTTTTTTAACGTTCGCACACATTTTCGCGTACAAACTATTTACGGCTGTTTGTTAATTTTTTTTGTTAATTTTAATTATTATCAGTATTATTTATTTGCATGTGAGAGAGAGAGAGAGAAAGAGAAAAAATAAAAAATTTTTCGTGTTGTTGCTATTGTTGTTGTTCTTGTTGTTGTTTTTTTTTGTTTTTGTTTTTGTTTTACGAGAAAAAAAAAATTTGTAAAAAATTTACACATAAACGAATTTTGTTTTTTTTTTTGGTTTTTCTTTTTTTTTTCATCCACGCCCCTTTCCTCCCCCACTCCTCCTCCTTTCCCTCTTCCCTCTTCCATTCTTTTTAAAACTTTTTGCTGCAGTAAACGTTTAAGTGAATGGAACCGACAGGATTTCATTTTTTCATTTAAAAAGAAATTTTTAATTAATTTTCTTTTTTTCTTTTTTATTCGCTGCTCAGGAAATAGTCAAAGAAAACAGGTAAGTTAAAGTGTTTATTAAATAAATAAATAAATAACTTAGTGAAAAATAAAAAAAAATCAATAATCGATCAATAAATAAATAAATAAACCTACGGGAATTAACTTAATCAATCAACAACTACATTTAAGGATTTATGCGATAACGGAGGTATCGACTTGTTTTAACGTAATTAATTACGTCACGTAATAATTATTATGACGTCACAATATTTATTATTAACGTGTTAAGTGGTGTTCGTTAAATTGTCACAGTTGCCTAAAATATATATATAAATATTATTATTATTTAACGACGACGTATCGTCGCCATCTTTTTAAATAACATTCTTCTTCTTTTCTTTTCTTTTCTTTATCAAGTGCTTTAAGCGTGAACTAATTTTTAAAAAAAACAATCAATAAAATCGATATGTATTTATTATTAATTAATAAAATTAATAAATCAATCAATTAATGAGATTAGTGATTAAAAAAAAAAAATTTAATTGATTAGTTATTTTAACTTTTTATTTTTATTTTACTTATTTATTTATTTATGTATATGTATATAAATATTAATTTTACAGAGGTTGAACTTTAAAATTAGTTAATAATTTTATTTATTTAATAAATAAATAATACTAATAATAATAATAATTAATCAACACTTTATATTATTTATTGTAATAAGACAAGATTACAAGAGTGTCTTGACATTTTTATTATTATTATTTCTAATAATAATAATAATTAAAATTCTTAAACTTTCCCAATTTTAGCCTTCGATTTGTTATTATTATTATTATTATTATTATTATTATTAGGAAGCGTTGAACGTTTCTTAATAAATAAATAAATAAATAATTCGCCAAGCAAGCGAATAAATTATGTTTAATATATATAAATATAAATAATTATATTAATTAATTAATTAATAAAAAAAACAAATGAGTTGATTTTAATACTATTGTAAATTAGTATAAATATATATATATATAAATAAATAAATAAATATTAATAATAATAATAATAAAATTTAATTATTACGAGATGAATAAAATTCGGTCTTTCAATATATATACAGAAATTATCGAACGGATTTTATGGAAAGTTTATGAAAAAAAAAAAAAATTTTTTTTAATAATCTATTAATATTTAATTTTTTTTTTCGATTTATGTTTTCTTCACTATTATTATTATTATTATTATTTATTAATAAATTTATTTATTTTTTTTTAATGAATAAATGGTTTTTGAAATTACGACACGATTACGTTTCTAAATTTTTTTTTTTAATTACTTATGTAAAACGAGTCTATTAAAGTTAATATTGACGGTGTTATTTATTATTATTATTATTACTGTTCAGACGAATTAAATAATAATAGATGGGGGGAGGGGTAAAGTTAATAAGTAAAAAGATAACATTCGAGTACGTAAAAAAAAAAAAAAAATTATGTTTTATTTTATTTTTAATTTTATTGTTTGTTTGAATTTTTCGTTTTTTTTTTTTTAAATTTATACTTAGATTGTTATTGTTTGTTGTTTTATTATCAATAAGATTATCATCTTAACATATACATAATGATAATAATTATTATTATTATTACTTTTTTTTTCGGGTTAAAATTTAATTAAGTCTTTGTCGAAAGTCGAATCGTTATTAGAATTTTTTTTTTTTTTTACTTTAAATGTTTGTTCCCGTTCACAAAAAAACCGATTAAAAATATTTTTAATAATAATAATAATTATTATTTATTTATTTTGTTTATAAAAAAAATTACAAATAAAAAATAAATAAATAAATGAATAAGTAAAAAAATAATACAAAAAAAAAGTTTTTTGTAATCGATCGGGTAGTTAATAGGTAATCCGTAAAAATTTATTAAAATCTTCAAAGTTTTTATTTAAATAGAAATTTATATTATTATTATTATTATTTTAAAATTAATTTTTAAGTGTGAATGATTATTAACATTATTGTTATTATTTTAAATTTAAACCTCTAAAAAAAAAATCAATAAACGAACGGTACGGTTAATATTATTATTAATACCAACTTTTTAATAAAATAAATAATTATAATGTAAATTAATATTACCTCAAAGCCACGTTGGCTTTTGTACTGCTCACGCAAAAATTTTTCATTTTTATTTTTTTCTAATCTTATAAGAAATTTATTCTATTTTTTAGTGTTTTTATTTTCTCGCTTCGGTTAATAATATTTATTATATTGATAATAATAATAATAATATTTAAATTAAATTTTCATTTAAAAAATAAATAAATAAATAAATAATTTTTTTTTTTTAATTTATTAGTTTATTATTAATATCCTTTCATTCCGTAACTTTTTTTTTTTTAACCCAGAAGAAATGCATTTTTCTAATAATCTTAATTGAAATTTTACACTAAAAGTTTGGTAAAATACGTTAAGATGTATCAGAAAAACATAAGAAAAAGGAGGTGTAAAATAAAATACGAAAAACGGAGTAGTTTTGATGCAAAAATTCGTTATGATGTATCAGAAAAACATAAGAATGAAGAGGTTTCGTTCTTTTTACCAATCACAAGTGAAAATGGAGGTGTGGTTTTTATACCTTAAATTCACCAATCACGAGTATTTTTGATACTTTTAATCGCAAAATACGTTAAAATGTATCAACCAATCATAAGAAAAAGGAGGTGTTTTTTTTAAATCAGGTGTACGGAGATTTTATATTTAATAAATCAATAAATAAATAAAAATTTAATTTTTAATACATTTATTTATTATAAAGTTTAAGTTATAAATACATTACAATTTATACTATATCAAATTTTTTTTCTTTTATTTTTTTTTAATGCGTAATTTTTATTATTATTATTTAAAAAAAAAAAAATCAGTAAATTAATAAAATAAATCTTCAGAAAAAATTATTTGCTTCGATCGATTGAATTACAATGGCATGGCTCCCAGTGCTCCCACGATGACCGGAATAGTTTCTGTTTTCGTTCCCCACAACCTTGCTATTTCAATTTCTAAATTTCTGTACTTCAGCTTTTTGTCTGCTTCTTTGGCTGTCTCGTGTTTTTTTCTGTCGGCACGGATACTTCAACCAGTTTACACCACTTTTCCGTATTATACCTCAGGATGACATCCAGTTTGTTGGCCGACGGCTAGGGTTTATGATATACTAATGTGAGAATTACGAATGCGTTTTTTTAATAAATTTATTTATTGTTTTTTAAATTGTTTCACACTTTCCCCCTCACTCTTTTTGTGTTAACTCGAAACCCCTCTACTCTCCTACCCCCCCCAAAAAAAAATTCAAAAAAACGATGGAAAAAAATTTAATTTAATTTGGTTGCCGACGGAATGAATTTTTCATTTTTTTATTTTATATATAAATTTATTATTATGGTCACTCTTAAACACGACAAGGCTCTTATTTGTCGGGGGTTTTAAGCATTTATTCCAGGTTTCTATCCGATTCCTTAGGGAAATCGGGAAAATTTTTAACGAAATAAAGAATTTGTTTTTGTTTACGTTTTTCGGCGTTGTTATTGTTTTTGTTTACGTTTTTTGGTTTTGTTTTTGTTTTTGTTTACGTTTTTTGGATTTTTTTTTTTTTTACGTTTTTTGGATTTTTTTTGTTTAAGTTTTTTGGTGTTGTTATTGTTTTTGTTTACGTTTTTTGGTTTTGTTTTTGTTTTTGTTTACGTTTTTTGGATTTTTTTTTTTTTACGTTTTTTGGATTTTTTTTTGTTTACGTTTTTTGGTGTTGTTATTGTTTTTGTTTACGTTATTTGCTGTTGTTGTTGTTTTTGTTTACGTTAGAAAAACATAAGAATGAAGAGGTTTGAAAAATGAAAATGGAGGCAAAGAGTAAAATAAAAAAACATAATATATAAAATACTAATTATATTTCAATAAACTAGACTAAGTTACATAACTTTTGATTTATATAAAACTAATAACTAAATTATTAAATAAAACTATTAATATTAATTTAAATAAGTTGACATGACGTAATGACGTAACGCATGTCAACTTTTTTAATTTTAATTATTATCATTATTATTGACACAAAAAAAAAAAAAAAATATATATATATATATATATATATATATATATATATATATATATATATATATATGTATATATAATATAT